TGGGTCATGCGGCCCACCCCAGGTGCCCCAGGTAGGGTGGGAACTCCTGGCCACCTGCCTGGGCCCGTCTGTCAACTCCTAACCCCTCCCTGTCAGGGAAACAAGAAACACTGCTCTGAAGCAGCCCAGCGACATGAAAAGCCCTCGCTCCACCCCTTGTTACCTTCTATTTTATTTTCCAGAACTCTGCTCCCTCCCTCCTGCAACGAGCACAGCCTCCCCACCTGTGGCGGCTTCTTCAGGAGCCATAAGATTTCACACAGTACTGGACTTGAGAGGGGATTCCGTCATGAGAGTGGGATCTTAGCAGAAAATAAGCTTAAATATTGGTTTGTTCTTTTTTGAGCTCTTTTAAGTGTAACAAAATAGGTAATTTTAGTGATGAGAGAGACTCTTTAGATGGCAAATTTCTTTCCTAACCCCTGCCCCGCTGCAGCTTTGGGACTGGGGAGGGACACCCACATCCCTGAGCCGAATAGTCATTTTGTGCATCTGGGGTGGAGCGATCTGGAGTCCCTGCTCCACTCCCCAGGTGATGGCAGGCAGCACTTACGGCCTTGCAATCCCAGGAGCATCCAGAGGACTCCTGACCAAGTGTCAGTCCCGTGCTGGAAACTCTGCCAGCCAAGCTCTGGACCTGAAGGATTGTTCTTCTTCTAAAGTCATTTATTACAATGTAAACACCCTGGGGAGGGCTCCTCTGCTTCTGCCTGATCATGGCTGGATTCTGGTGCAGAACAGTCATTTGTAGGCCAATAGGTCTAAGCCCAGTCTGGGAGGAAAAGGGACAAGTTTACGTCCCAGAGGAGTAGCCCCTTCATTTAGAAGCATCAAGGTGAGGTGCTTCGCCTAGCCTCGGGAATCCAGGAAAGGCTTCCTGAGAATGGGACATTGGTGCTGGGTTCTGACAAGTAAGTAATAGGGGAAAAGCAGTGGGGGTGATGGGGTCCCAGGCAAAGGGTACAGCATGTGCAAAAGCCTCAAGACAGAGCCTGGTGGGTTTAGGAATATGTAGGTCCCCCAGGACTGAGTGGTAGGAGTTGGGAGAGGAGCTGGAGAGGTTGTGAGCCCTGCTACAGAATCTTCTCTTCCCACTGGGGGCAAGTGGGAGCCACTGAAGGCTCTAAGCAGGGAAGGAACCAAGTTAGATTTGAAGTATAGAAAAAGCGTCTATAGCAGCTTGGAGACTAGGGGATTTGGGATCCAGATGGAAGAGGAGAGTCAGACGGGAAGCTATTGCAGGAGTTCCAGTGGTGGGTGGCGGTGACCTGGACCCAGATTGTGACAAGTGGGATCAGGAAGTCAGTGATCTAGGGCAAGACAGAGGGTAACACCCCTGGTTCCATCCTAATCTCAGTCCCCTGGACTCCGTCCCTTAGAGCAGGATGCAGCCCTCTCTCCTCTCCTCTCCTCCACCAGCCCCGTTCCTGCCCGCCTGCCTGTGGCCCGGGAGACCCAGGCTCCACCCTCGCTACCTGGCTGGTCCGGGTGATGCAGCGGCGGATGAGGTCTCTGATGTTGTTGTGCTTGTCTGTCTGGAAGTATACAGTGGCGCTGGACCTTTTCCTTCAGGTAGGGC